TTGTGATTTTCCATTTAAATATAATAGAATATATCAGCTGTTCCCAGCTATCCATATGGAAAGTAAAACCATTAACATCTTTTGAAGTCACACTTGGACCTAATAGGACTGATGATGATGATTTTGACAGACTGATGAAGACTGGGACATATTTAGCAATTTATTGGTGGTCTGTCATCCTTAAAAGGTAAGAACCCCTGCCCTAAATGTTCCGTCCACCCAACCAGGGTATAAAAGCCTAAAATATATGGACCCCTCAAAACACTGGAGCTCAGGTGTCCAGTTGATACCAATGGTAACTGTGCTCGTCCATGCTTGGTTGGGAAAGACCTTTTTCTATTCTCTGTGCTCAAAACCAGTGCCACAAGGACGTAATTTGACCAGTTTGGTGTGGTGGAACTTGAGTGGCCCCTAACCTCAAATCAGGTCTTCTCATATAACATCCATACATGAGCTCACAAATGCAGTAGACACACTCCAGAACTCTTGGTGGAAAGCCTTTCCAGAAGGGTGGAGCTGCAAATGGGAGGACAACTCCATATTACTGGCCATGGTTTTGGAATGGGATTTTCAACAAGCTCATATAGGTGTAATGGTCAAGTGTCCAAGCCATATAGTGTATTGAAGAGTTCTCTTGGTGTATCTATTGCAAGATGTTACCACCATCTTTGCCCTATGCTTATTTTATATTTTGAAGGATGTAAGATGAGAAGCTGAAACTCACCACAATTTGCGGGACACCCAAAACGTCCTAATGGGCAGGAATGGAGGCCAAGACTAGGCATGGAGATTTCTGGATCTTTTGTCTCTTACAGTTGAGTCACCAATGGTGGCTGAAGGCCCTTTACTCACCATCCAGGAATGGAGGCCAAGACTAGGCATGGAGATTGCTGGATCTTTTGTCTCTTACAGTTGAGTCACCAATGGTGGATGATGGCTCTTTACTCACCATCCAGGAATGGAGGCCAAGACTAGGCATGGAGATTGCTGGATCTTTTGTCTTTTACAGTTGAGTCACCAATGGTGGATGAAGGCCCTTTACTCACCATCCAGGAATGGAGGCCAAGACAAGGCATGGAGATTGCTGGATCTTTTGTCTCTTACAGTTGAGTCACCATTGGTGGATGAAGGCTCTTTACTCACTATCCAGAAATGGAGGCCAAGACTAGTCATGGAGATTGCTGGATCTTTTGTCTCTTACAGTTGAGTCACCAATAGTGGATGAAGGCCCTTTACTCACCATCCAGGAATGGAGGCAAAGACTAGGCATGGAGATTGCTGGATCTTTTGCCTCTTACAGTTCAGTCACCAATGGTGGATAAAGGCCCTTTACTCACCATCCAGAAATGGAGGCCAAGACAAGGCATGGAGATTGCTGGATCTTTTGTCTCTTACAGATGAGTCACCAATGGTGGATGAAGGCTCTTTACTCACCATCCAGAAATGGAGGCCAAGACTAGGCATGGAGATTGCTGGATCTTTTGTCTCTTACAGTTGAGTCACAAATGGTGGATGATGGCTCTTTACTCACCATCCAGGAATGGAGGCCAAGACTAGGCATGGAGATTCCTGGATCTTTTGTCTTTTACAGTTGAGTCACCAATGGTGGATGAAGGCTCTTTACTCACTATCCAGAAATGGAGGCCAAGACTAGTCATGGAGATTGCTGGATCTTTTGTCTCTTACAGTTGAGTCACCAATGGTGGATGAAGGCTCTTTACTCACCATCCAGGAATGGAGGCCAAGACTACGCATGGAGATTGCTGGATCATTTGTCTCTTACAGTTGAATCACCAATGGTGGATGAAGGCTCTTTACTCATCATCCAGGAATGGAGGCCAAAACTACGCATGGAGATTGCTGGATCATTTGTCTCTTACAGTTGAATCACCAATGGTGGATGAAGGCTCTTTAATCACCATCCAGGAATGGAGGCCAAGACTACGCATGGAGATTGCTGGATCTTTTGCCTCTTACAGTTGAATCATCAATGGTGGATGAAGGCTCTTTACTCACCATCCAGGAATGGAGGCCAAGACTACGCATGGAGATTGCTGGATCATTTGTCTCTTACAGTTGAGTCACCAATGGTGGATGAAGGCTCTTTACTCACCATCCAGGAATGGATGCCAAGACTACACATGGAGATTGCTGGATCTTTTGTCTCTTACAGTTGAGTCACCAATGGTGCATGAAGGCCCTTTATTCACCATCCAGGAATAGAGGCCAAGACAAGGCATGGAGATTGCTGGATCTTTTGTCTCTTACAGTTGAGTCACCATTGGTGGATGAAGGCTCTTTACTCACTATCCAGAAATGGAGGCCAAGACTAGTCATGGAGATTGCTGGATCTTTTGTCTCTTACAGTTGAGTCACCAATGGTGGATGATGGTTCTTTACTCACCATCCAGGAATGGAGGCCAAGACTAGGCATGGAGATTGCTGGGTCTTTTGTCTCTTACAGTTGAGTCACCAATGGTGGATGATGGTTTCTTTACTCACTATCCAGAAATGGAGGCCAAGACTAGTCATGGAGATTGCTGGATCTTTTTTTGTCTTTTACAGTTGAATCACCAATGGTGGATGAAGGCTCTTTACTCATCATCCAGGAATGGAGGCCAAGATTAGGCATGGAGATTGCTGGATCTTTTGCCCTTTACAGTTGAGTCACCAATGGTGGATGAAGGCTCTTTACTCATCATCCAGGAATGGAGGCCAAGGCTAGGCATGGAGATTGCTGGATCTTTTTTTGTCTTTTACAGTTGAATCACCAATGGTGGATGAAGGCTCTTTACTCATCATCCAGGAATGGAGGCAGAGCCCCTGAGGTGTTAATGCATTTATTATCATATCTCCATGTTAGTCTTTGTAGACAGATTGTCATATAGAGTCCCCATCATGTCTTTTGATACATTTCTAGCTCCAGATTTGCTGGAGAACTTCACTCCTGTTTTCCTGCCATCTTATCACATAGTTGCAATACACTTTTTCAGCAGCATTGTCTGGTGAAGTGCATCTGCCCCATATGAATCTCTTCCAGGTCCAGGCTATATTCTAGGTAAGACCAGGGCTGCATGTCAGTGTCATGCTAGGCATGCATGTATGGTGGCACCATTTTCCTCCACTTTTATCCTATGACTTCAGTGCTTTCCAAAAACTACAGTTGTTGAATTGTGCTTTGAGGTCAGCATGCTAATCGGTTTGCATGCAGTGCTGTCACTAGACTCACCACATATCTACCAACTAGATTAGAAGGGAGATGATTCCATGGTACTTCACCTGCAGAGAGTCTTGTGACTCTTCTCAAGAGTTCCTTCTTCCTGAAACAGTTACTTTGCTTGTTGCACCCAAAAAACACCCAGAGGTGGTCGACAAAGAGAAAAAAAAGGTGAAAAATAGAGTAACCCTAATGAACCAGTTTCACTCATTGTGGCATTGTGTTCTAGACTCCCCATATTACTAAGTCTCACTTCTGCTGCTGCGCTCTGTATATAAAGTCAAGATGGAAAGCAGTATAAGAAGCCGATTCAAACCACCGTCCAAATGTGAATGATTTCTTTGTGCTCATATCCTTGAATGATTTGTGCTTGTAGTTAGTAGAAGATGTTAGAATGTGGAGAGATGGTAGAGTCTCACTTTCCTACAGTGCCAGTCCCCCCCTCCCCCACCAAGGAATATGTTTTGGCCCAAAAGTCTGACGCTGATGATTAGCTTCTTGTTTGTGATCAGGACTGAAATTGTCACTATAAAAAGTGTAGCACGAGACAAATCTCAAATCCACATTTCATGACATGATTCAGTGAGGGGAATGAATATCATAAGACCCCCGGATTTCCTATGGGACACGTTCACCCGTCGCGGTTTTTTGGAAGGTGTCAGGGACCTTTTTTAACGCAAAAAGTTGCGTTTTTGGTTCTATAGACTTCAATGGAAATGCTGCAGAAATGCATGTAGTGCGTTTTTGCTGTGTTTTAAATCTGCCTAGCAACAATAAAAAGAAAAAAAAATGAACCCCCCCGCAAACAGCATAAAAAACGCAGCAAAAACACAAAACGTAATGCAGAAACAGGTAGAATGCAACCTGCATAGGTGTGAACCTAGCCTTAGGTCTCATTCAGATGGGCGCTGGCACTGGTACTGCATGCATGAGGCTTTTGTTTTTTGCATCATGTGCTCTGAGCTGCATGCAGGCAGCCTATGGAGGTGGATCAGGGGCGGACTGACAACTCATGGGGCCCCCGGACAATAGGGGATCATGGGGCCCCTGTGTCCTTGCCCAAACTCAAAAAAGCCTATGAAAAGGTACCAGGGGCATCTCATGGGGCCCCCTACTGACTCCGGGCCCTCGGGCAGTGCCCGAGTTTCCAAATGGTCAGTCCGCCCCTGAAGTGGATGCAGATGCAGCGGACACACAGACACAACCACATGTCACAATTTGACAGGCAGGAGCAACTGCACAACCCCGACTGCACACCGCCTGCATGCGGGGCCACATCTGCAGCTCGTAGTACGGGTGCCAGCGTCCGTCTGAATGACGCCTCCATCATCACTCACATGCAATTGCTGATCTCTGCTGATATTGCGGTTGATATATTTTGTAAATGACATCACGGTTATGTAAGGCGCTCCGTTCACATGCAGACGGTTCTTAGCAGAGTCCAGTTTAGTCATCTGCGCTTTTCTTGCTGGTGGTGCCCAGGCAACATGACCGCCATCTTTTATTTATTTTTTTTTGTTCTTTCTTTTCACGAAATAATTCTAATGAGGTGAAGACGCAGGGACGGCGTGCGGAGGATAAACTGGGACTGGCGGAGTCCAGGGAACAGGCGAATCCCAGTACACATTCCCAATGGTGACACAGTTTTGAACACGGAAATAAAGGCAAAAAACATTGGCCGCTGGCACCGAGGTGACCGTGAACTGTTGCAGCCAATCAGAGTAAGGCTTTTGCCGTGCGGTCGTTTCTTAAGCTTTAGCGCAAATGAAAACATGGTGAGGCGTTACATGATGGAGCAGGTGAAGCCGCAGCACTCTTTCAGCAGCGTCAGTCCCGTCTTTGTGACGTGGGGGTTGGATGTTTGTTGCGCTCGAGAGGTGACAGTTGACGCCTTTTCCTTTCTGTGGACTGAAAATTAAAAGAAAAAAAAAAAGTCATAGAAAAAGACTTGATGTTGGTAGTGTGCTAGAAGAGCTACAAATGGACCTGTCATTAGATATTCTGGTACCAGTTCTGGTGCCGATACTAAGGCTGGCCATACACTATACAATTTTCTTACAATTTTCTGCCCAATTTCTTTTAGATTTACCTTCAGCTATGTAATGTAGGGCCAGCCTAACTGGATACAATTGAAAGTGTTGTTTAGGTTTGCCCTCATATTATATGTTTTTTGGTAAATCTAAAGAAAAAATCTCAAGAAAATTGTATAATGTATAGCCAGCCTAAGCATTTGCACAAGTATCGTTACTCATTCAAATGCTCTGATACCTGAAACTGATACCTTCAGGCTCCTGTTCTTTCAGCTGTCAGTGGGATTCCCCCATCCCAGCTGAAATGTACTTTTTACAAAAGCCAGGGAAAAAAAGCCAGTTGTCAAGGAGCAGGGCTGCCCTGTCCTTAGCAACCGATGACTCATTCAGTTGTCAGAGGGGTTCCCCTGTTGACAACTGAATTAACATGTTCTGGAACTGGCAAAACAAAAAAAAGAAGAGCAGCCTGACAATGTTTATCAACAACATTGCTCAGCCTAAAACAGGAGAAATAAAAAGAAACATTGTTTCATTTTGTATATTTCTGTTGATTCGGCTACAGATCAAAGAGATGAACTTCCATCTGCAGATGAAGTCTCCGGTCCAGGGGTGGACTGACCATTTGGAAACTCTGGCACTGCCCGAGGGCCCGGGGTCAGTAGGGGGCCCCATGAGATGCCCCTGGTACCTTTTTCATAGGCTTTTTTGAGTTCTGGCAAGGACACAGGGGCCCCATGATCCCCTATTGCCTGGGGGCCCCATGAGTTGTCAGTCCGCCCCTGCACCGGTCACACCGCTGTCATTTTTAATTGTGCGATTTGTGTGCAATTTCAGCGCTATTTTAGTTGCGATTTCTGAAGACTTTATTGCTGCTTGTGAAGATTTTCAATGATCTCTTGCCATTTGCGGTGTGATTTTCATGAAATGCTATGTATGTGAAATCGCAACAAAACTGCAACAAAAGTAATGCAAGAACGACTTTAGAAATTGCGCTGCAGAAAATCGCACATGTTAAAGCGGAGTTCCAGCCGTTTTTATGTTTATTAAAAGTCAGCAGCTACAAAAACCATAGCTGTTGACTTTGAATAAACACACACACTCACCTGTCCCGGGGTCCAGCGATGTGCTTTCCCTTCTCCCCTTCTCTCCTCCATGGTGCTGGCATCTCTACTGTGGCACCCGGCTGTGACAGCTTGCAGCTTCCCAGCCTGGTGCCCACTGCGCATGCGTGAGTCACGCTGCGCCTTCTAATTGGTCTGGCAGTCTTCTGGGACCCTGTGAGAGTTCCCAGGAGACTGCGGGAGGAAGGAGGGGGTCGAACTTCTGGCTCACTTCGTGAACTGAGCCGGAAGTGGGAGCGGGTACCTGTCAAAACAAGTATCTGCTCCCCCCCAAAAGGTGCCAAATATGGCAGTGGAGGGGGGGGGAGGGTGGGGAATAGGTGGAGCTTCTCCTTTTGAGTGGAACTCCGCTTTAAGACACTGACATTCACATTCATTAAATACGATTTCAGGTGCGTTTTCAATTTGCAAATCGCACAAGTATGATTGGTCATGAAGTCAGTAAAAAGCAAACCGACAAGTAGAAAAAAAAAAAGGGGGGGGGGGGGGTTTAAAAAAAAAAAAAAGAATGTTCCTCTCAGGGGCAGACTGACAACTCATGGGGCCCCCGGGCAATAGGGGATCATGGGGCCCCTGTGTCCTTGCCCAAACTCAAAAAAGCCTATGAAAAAGGTACCAGGGGCATCTCATGGGACCCCTACTGACCCCGGGCCCTCTGGCAGTGCCCGAGTTTCCAAATGGTCAGTCCGCTCCTGGTTCCTCTGTTTAACCCCATATTAACCCTTAATTTACTCTAATCCACCCTAATCAGCGGCGGACTGACCATTTGGAAACTCGGGCACTGCCCGTGGGCCCGGGGTCAGTAGGGGGGCCCCATGAGATGCCCCTGGTACCTTTTTCATAGGCTTTTTTGAGTTTGGGCAAGGACACAGGGGCCCCATGATCCCTTATTTCCCGGGGGCCCCATGAGTTGTCAGTCCCCCCCTGGCCCTAATTAACTCCTTATTCCCCTTCTCCAGTTAATTATTATTCTCCTGCTGATTTTTTTGTTTGTTCATTTGTATTTTATAAACTATTAATATAATTCAAACTTTTCTTTTTGTTTTTGTTTGCTTTGTTCTCTAATATTGTTCTTTAACATCTATTTACACGTTTTACATTAAAAATAAAAAAAAATAAAAGTTGGAAAAAAAATGGATTTAATTTAAAACTTTTCAATACGTTGTACCAGAATCATAATTACAGAATAAAATGCACACTTTTTATGTGCAGTAGCACTATTTATTTTTACATTAACACCGCTCAAAACATTTTTTTTACAGATACAGCGCCTCGAAAAAGTCTTGACACCCCTTGAAATGTCCCCCATGTTGTCATGTTACAATGTATTTTATTGGGATTGGATGTGATAGACCGACACAAAGTAGCACATAATTGTGAAGTGGAAGGAAAATGAGAAATAGTTCAACATTTTTTACAAATTAACCCCTTCCCGCCGATGCCTCCCGGCCCTTTAAGAGATTCAGACGCCGGGAGGCAGGGCGGTTGGGGCGTGGTTTAGGAATCATGTGACCGCCGTGATGACGCGTCACGGCGGTCACATGATCGGGAAAGGTCCCGTTCGAAAGAGCGGACCGGGACCTTTCCGTGAGTACCACACGTGTGCTGGGAGCGCGCAGGGCGCGCGCTCTCAGCACATATGTATTTAGTTACATGGACGCAAATGTGCGGCCGCCCGGGCGTCTAGGCCCAGACGCCGGGCGGCCGCACATTTGTGTGCGGCCGGCGCAAAGGGGTTAATATATGAAAAGTGTGGCGACATTTGTATTCAGCTCCCTTTACTCTGATACCCCTAACTAAACTCTAGTGGAACCAATTGCCTTCAAAAGTCACTTAATTTCGGTTGAACTGGATGGACTTTTGTCTTTTTTCAGCCAGACTATGTAAGTCCACTTGTCATGTGATCTCAGTATAAATCAAGCTGTTCTGTGAAGCCCTCAGAGGTTTGTTAGAGAACATTAGTGAACAAACAGCATCATGAAGGCCAAGGAACACACCAGACAGGTCAGGGATAAAGTTGTGGAGAGGTTTAAAGAAGGGTTAGGTTAGAAAAAAAATATCCCAAGCTTTGACAATCTCACAGAGCACTGTTCAATTCATCATCTGGAAATGGAAAGAGTACGGCACAACTGCAAACCTACCAAGACATGGTCGTCTACCTAAACTGACCGGCCGGGCAAGGAGAGCATTCATCAGAGAAGCAGCCAAGAGGCCCATGGGAACTCTGGAGGAGCTGCAGAGATCCACAGCTCAGGTGGGAGAATCTGTCCTCAGGACAACTATTAGTCGTGCACTCCACAAATCTGGCCTTTATGGAAGAGTGACGAGAAGAAAGCCATTGTTGGAAGAAAGCCATAAGAAGTCCCGTTTACAGTTTGCAAGAAGCCATGTGGGGGACACAGCAAACATGAGGAAGAAGGGGCTCTGGTCAGATGAGACCAAAATGGAACTTTTTGGCCTGAAAGCAAAACGCTGTATGTGGGGGGAAAACTAACACTGCGCATCACCCTGAACCAGGGGCGGACTGACCATTTGGAAACTCGGGCACTGTCCGAGGGCCCGGGGTCAGTAGGGGGCCCCATGAGATGCCCCTGGTACCTTTTTCATAGGCTTTTTTGAGTTTGGGCAAGGACACAGGGGTCCCATGATCCCCCATTGCCCGGGGGCCCCATGAGTTGTCAGTCCTGCCCTGAACACACCATCCCCACTGTGGCAGCATCATGTGCTGGGGATGCTTTTCTTCAGCAGGGACAGGGAAGATGGTCAGAGTTGATGGGAAGATGGATGGAGCCAAATACAGGGCAATCTTAGAAGAAAACCTGTTCTGCAAAAGACTTGAGACCGGGGCGGAGGTTCACCTTCCAGCAGGACATCGACCCGAAACATCCAGCCAGACCTACAATGGAATGGTTCAGATCAAAGCATCTTTATGTGTTAGAATGGCCCAGTCACAGTCCAGACCCAAATCCAATGGAGAATCTGTGGCCAGACCTGAAAATTGCTGTTCCCAGACGCTCTCCATCCAATCTGACAGCTTGAGCGATTCTGCAAAGAAGAATGGGCAGAAATGTCCCTCTCTAGATGTGCAAAGAGACATCCCCAAAAAGACTTGCAGCTGGAATTGCAGCCAAAGGGGGGTCCTACAAAGTATTGACTCTGGGGGGCCGAATACAAATCCCACCACACTTCTCACAGATTTATTGGTCACAAATGTTGGAAACCATTTCTCATTTTCCTTCCACTTCACAATTATAGGCTACTTTGTGTCGGTCTATCACATCCAATCCCAATAAAATACTTTGTAACATGACAACATGGAGGGCATTTCACGGGGGAGGGGGGGGGGAATACATTGTAACATGACAACATGGGGGGCATTTCACGGGGGAAGGGGGGGGGGGGGGGGGGGGATACATTGTAACATGACAACATGGGGGACATTTCACGGGGGGGGGGGGGGGGGGGAATACATTGTAACATGACAACATGGGGGACATTTCACGGGGGGGGGGGGGGGGGAATACATTGTAACATGACAACATGGAGGGCATTTCACGGGGGAGGGGGGGGGGGTATACATTGTAACATGACAACATGGGGGGGCATTTCACGGGGGGAAAGGGGGGGGGAATACATTGTAACATGACAACATGGGGGGCATTTCACGGGGGGGGGGGGAATACATTGTAACATGACAACATGGGGGACATTTCACGGGGGAGGGGGGGGGGGGGATACATTGTAACATGACAACATGGGGGGCATTTCACGGGGGGGGAGGGGGGGGGAATACATTGTAACATGACAACATGGGGGACATTTCACGGGGGAGGGGGGGGGGGAATACATTGTAACATGACAACATGGGGGGCATTTCACGGGGGGAGGGGGGGGAATACATTGTAACATGACAACATGGGGGACATTTCACGGGGGAGGGGGGGGAATACATTGTAACACGACAACATGGGGGACATTTTGGGGGGGGGGGGCGGGAATACATTGTAACATGACAACATGGGGGACATTTCAGGGGGAGGGGGGGCGGGAATACATTGTAACATGACATGGGGGACATTTCAGGGGGAGGGGGGACGGGAATGCATTGTAACATGACAACATGGGGGACATTTATGGGGGACATTTCAGGGGGAGGGGGGGCGGGAATACATTGTAACATGACAACATGGGGGACATTTCAGGAGGAGGGGGGGGGGGGGGGGGGGGGAGGGGGGGGGGGCGGGTAATACATTGTAACATGACAACATGGGGGACATTTCAGGGGGAGGGGGGGGGGGTATACATTGTAACATGACAACACGGGGGACATTTCAGGGGGAGGGGGGGCAGGAATACATTGTAACATGACAACACGGGGGACATTTCAGGGGGAGGGCGGACATTTCGGGGGGGGGGGGCGGGAATACATTGTAACATGACAGCATGGGGGACATTTCCAGGGGTGTGAAGACTTTTTCAAGGCGCTGTATTTACATAAATATATAATTTCAAAACCTGCAAATGCTACATACAGTGCCACTGCCCCGCCCCTGACCACGCCTTGGCCATCAGCACACACTAGCAAATCTCTCCTCCTGCCTATGAGCTAACAGAGAAGCGCGTCCTGCCGAAAAGCCCCATTTCAACTTTCAGCTGGTGTGTGCCCGACATGCATGTTTCTGGGACAATCTAAGCATTAACATTTTTATAAACTTCATTAGGGATCTCCTTACAGAAAGAGCAATATGCAATGTGTGTGCAGGTCTAACAACCAATCAGATGACACCTTGTACTGCACCACTGCTCATGGAGCTTCCTCATAGAAAGGTGTCAGCGCCACGATCGGCTTCTTTGGAATCTCTGAATAATGCAATCGCACCACAAAGGGGATTTATTTAACAGAACGTTTCGATGTGCGCAAATCTCTGGAAGATTACTGGAAGAGGAGGCGGGGGGGGGGGGGGTCTCAGGGATTACAGAGCGAGGATGGGAGTGGGTTGGGGGGAGGGATTTAGAGGGGGGTTCAAGGCGACAGAGTCGCTGATGACCGATCTCTGTAACTCTGCCTTCATCTCAGGGGAGTGGAAAGTCGACCTGTCAGCCATTTGTTCGTTAGCGCACAGGCCTCAATTACCATGCATTGCGTTTCGGCAGCCTACTGAAATGAATGGGCCGTCAAGGCTCCCGGAACCCGAAATGTTGTACCTGACCCAGGGGCGGACTGACCATTTGGAAAACTCGGGCACTGCCCGAGGGCCCGGGTTCAGTAGGGGGCCCCATGAGATGCCCCTGGTACCTTTTTCATAGGCTTTTTTGAGTGTGGGCAAGGACACAGGGGCCCCATGATCCCCTATTGCCCGAGGGCCCCATGAGTTGTCAGTCCGCCCCTGACCTGACCCTTTTCTCTAACTCAGCCCACTATTGTGTCACTGCCCCGCCCCCTGTGCTAAAACACTGCATGAAAGCACCTTGGGGGAGGGGTTTGGGGGGGTTGGGCGGGCTTATATTAAACACTTGGCTTTTCCTGACTTCCTCCCACAGTGCCAGGGCAAGGGTGACATCATCATGCCTTGCTTTCATTCTCTACTGAAAATGCTAGGTGCCTGGCTCTCATGCAGATAATTTAGCGTCCATACTGTAATCCTATGTGCCTGGCTCTCATGACGATGCTTTTGTTTCTATACTGACCCCCTCCTCCTGAAAATACCACGTATCTGGCTCTTATGATGATGCTATTGTTTCAGTACTGACCCCTCCTTCTGAAAATGCCAAGTGCCTGGCTCTCATGATGACGCTTTTGTTTCAATACCGACCCCTCCTCCTGAAAATACCATGTGCCTGGCTCTTATGATGATGCTTTTGTTTCTATACTGACCCCTCCTTCTGAAAATGCCAGCTGCCTGGTTCTCATGATGATGCTATTGTTTCTATACCGGACCCCTCCTCCTGAAAATACCAAGTATCTGGCTCTTATGATGATGCTTTTGTTTCTATACTGCCCCCCTTCTCCTGAAAATACCAAATGCCTGGCTGTCATGGTGATGCTTTTGTTTCAGTACTGACCCCTCCTTCTGAAAATGCCAACTGCCTGGTTCTCATGATGATGCTATTGTTTCAGTACTGACCCCTCTTCCTGAAAATACCAAGTGCCTGGCTCTCATGATGATGCTTTTGTTTCTTTACCGGATCCCTCCTTCTGAAAATACCAGTTGTATGGTTCTCATGATGATGCTTTTGTTTCTATATCAATCCCTCCTTCTGAAAATGCCAATAGCCTGGCTCTCATGATGATGCTTTTGTTTCAATACTGACCTCTCCTTCTGAAAATACCAGGTGTGTGGCTCTCATTATAATGCTTCAGTTTTCATGCTGATCCCCACCTTCTGGAGATGCTACAGAACAGGTATAAGCAGGGGCAGACTTACCATTTGGAAACTCGGGCACTGCCCGAGGGCCCGGGGTCAGTAGGGGGCCCCATGAGATGCCCCTGGTACCTTTTTCATAGGCTTTTTTGAGTTTGGACAAGGACACAGGGGCCCCATGATCCCCTATTGCCCGGGGGCCCCATAAGTTGTCAGTCTGCCCCTGGGGGTGCCCCATGAGTTGTCAGTCCGCCCCTGGGTATAAGGATGAGAAATTCTGAGTTTTATTTGCTGAAACAGTAATATGAGAGCCAGAGGCACCCAGGCAACTGGAATTTTTAGAAGGAGAGCAGAAACATATTGTCATGACAGGCGCACTATAATAAAGTTCTGCAGATGGTGGGGCAGCTTGGTGAGCAGAGGGGTGGGGGAGGGGTATATACCATGACCAGGACACCAAGTCTCCAGAAGCCGTAGGGGGCCTATGACTGTTGTTACACGTTGGCAGCAATCTTGCTCCTTACAGGAAACAAAGTATCACAAGGCTTTCTCGGCTCACCTGCCTTCTTCAGGTAACTTTTGGAAAGTCGGCTTTGCAGAAAGTCTGCCATGTCCTTGTCCTCCTCCCGCTCCCTGCGAAGAGACAGAGGCATAGCGTGACCCTCTGCACAAATCCTGGACGGAGAGCCCGGGGGGTGTAAGAGGAAACACAGCAGCTCAGGTACATTGTAACAGCAAGTGGATTTCCCCTATATGGGTTATAGATTACATTAGTTGGACTTGAAGAGACTCAATCACATAGTAGTAGCAAGGGGAATGTAAAGAATGGCACGAGAAGCTGTTATGTACACTCAGGAGCTGGGAGATGTGAAACTGTTATGCACACTAAGGAGCTGGGAGACGTGAAGCTATTATGCACACTCCGGAGCTGGGAGACGTGAAGCTGTTATGTACACTCAAGGGCCAGGAGATCTGGTAGCTGTCATGTACACTTAGGAATCGGGAGATGTGAAGCTGTTATGTACACTCAGGAGTTGGGAGATGTGAAGCTGTTATGCACACTCAGGAGCCAGGAGTTGTAAAGCTGTTATGTACATTCTGGAGCAGGGAGGTGTGAAGCTGCTATGTAAGGTCATGAGCTGGGAGGTATGAAGCTGTTATACACACTCAGGAGCCAGGAGTTGTAAAGCTGTTATGCACACACTGGAGCTGGGAGATGTGAAGCTGTTATGCACACTCCGGAGCTGGGAAATGTGAAGCTGTTATGCACACTCCGGAGCTGGGAGATGTGAAGCTGTTATGCACACTCTGGAGTTGGGAGGTGTGACGCTGTTATGCACACTCTGGAGTTGGGAGGTGTGACGCTGTTATGCACACTCATGAGCTGGGAGATGTGAAGCTGTTATGCACACTCAGGAGCTGGAAGACGTGAAGCTGTTATGTACACTCAAGAGGCGGTTGATGTGGCAGCTGTTATGTACACTCAGGAGCCGGGAGTTGTGAAGCTGTTATGCACACTCAGGAGCCGGGAGTTGTGGAGCTGTTATGTACACTAAGGAGCTGGGATATGTGAATCTGTTATGTACATTCAGGAGCTGGGAGATGGGAAGCTGTTATGTACATTCAGGAGCTGGGAGATTTGAGCTGTTATGTACAGTCAGGAGTTGGGAGATGTGAAGCTGTTATGTACAGTCAGGAGCTGGGAGATGGGAAGCTGTTATGTACAGTCAGGAGCTGGGAGATGTGAAGCTGTTATGTACAGTCAGGAGCTGGGAGATGTGAAGCTGTTATGTACAGTCAGGAGTTGGGAGATGTGAAGCTGTTATGTACACTCAGGAGCTGGGAGATGTGAAACTGTTATGTACAGTCAGGAGCTGGGAGATGTGAAGCTGATATGTACACTCAGGAGCTGGGAGACGTGAAGCTGTTATGTACAGTCAGGAGCTGGGAGATGTGAAGCTGTTATGTACACTCAGGAGCTTGGAGATGTGAAGCTGTTATGTACACTCAAGAGCTTGGAGATGTGAAGCTGTTATGTACAGTCAGGAGCTTGGAGATGTGAAGCTGTTATGTACAGTCAGGAGCTGGGAGATGTGAAGCTGTTATGTACACTCAAGAGCTTGGAGATGTGAAGCTGTTATGTACAGTCAGGAGCTGGGAGATGTGAAGCTGTTATGTACACTCAGGAGCTGGGAGATGTGAAGCTGTTATGTACACTCAGGAGCTGGGAAGCTGTTATGTACACTCAGGAGCTGGGAGATGTGAAGCTGTTATGTACACTCAGGAGGTGGGAGATGTAAAGCTGTTATGTACAGTCAGGAGCTGGGAGATGTGAAGCTGTTATGTACACTCAGGAGCTGGAAGATGTGAAGCTGTTATGTACACTCAGGAGCTGGGAGATGTGAAGCTGTTATGTACACTCAGGAGCTGGGAGATGGGAAGCTGTTATGTACACTCAGGAGCTGGGAGATGGGAAGCTGTTATGTACAGTCAGGAGCTGGGAGATGTGAAGCTGTTATGCACACTCAGGAGCTGGGAGATGTGAAGTTGTTATGTACACTCAGGAGCTGGGAGATGTGAAGCTGTTATGTACAGTCAGGAGTTGGGAGATGTGAAGCTGTTATGTACACTCAGGAGCTGGGAGATGTGAAACTGTTATGTACAGTCAGGAGCTGGGAGATGTGAAGCTGATATGTACACTCAGGAGCTGGGAGACGTGAAGCTGTTATGTACAGTCAGGAGCTGGGAGATGTGAAGCTGTTATGTACACTCAGGAGCTTGGAGATGTGAAGCTGTTATGTACAGTCAGGAGCTTGGAGATGTGAAGCTGTTATGTACAGTCAGGAGCTTGGAGATGTGAAGCTGTTATGTACACTCAGGAGCTGGGAGATGTGAAGCTGTTATGTACACTCAGGAGCTGGGAGATGTGAAGCTGTTATGTACAGTCAGGAGCTGGGAGATGTGAAGCTGTTATGTACACTCAGGAGCTGGGAGATGTGAAGCTGTTATGTACACTCAGGAGCTGGGAAGCTGTTATGTACACTCAGGAGCTGGGAGATGTGAAGCTGTTATGCACACTCAGGAGGTGGGAGATGTAAAGCTGTTATGTACAGTCAGGAGCTGGGAGATGTGAAGCTGTTATGTACACTCAGGAGCTGGGAGATGTGAAGCTGTTATGTACACTCAGGAGCTGGGAGATGTGAAGCTGTTATGTACAGTCAGGAGCTGGGAGATGGGAAGCTGTTATGTACACTCATGAGCTGGGAGATGGGAAGCTGTTATGTACAGTCAGGAGCTTGGAGATGTGAAGCTGTTATGCACACTCAGGAGCTGGGAGATGTGAAGTTGTTATGTACACTCAGGAACTGGGAGATGTGAAGCTGTTATGTATAGTCAGGAGTTGGGAGATGTGAAGCTGTTATGTACACTCAGGAGCTGGGAGATGCGAAACTGTTATGTACAGTCAGGAGCTGGGAGATCTGAAGCTGATATGTACACTCAGGAGCTGGGAGATGTGAAGCTGTTATGTACACTCAGGAGCTTGGAGATGTGAAGCTGTTATGTACACTCAAGAGCTTGGAGATGTGAAGCTGTTATGTACAGTCAGGAGCTTGGAGATGTGAAGCTGTTATGTACACTCAGGAGCTGGGAGATGTGAAGCTGTTATGTACAGTCAGGAGCTGGGAGATGTGAAGCTGTTATGTACACTCAGGAGCTGGGAGATGTGAAGCTTTTATGTACACTCAGGAGCTGGGAAGCTGTTATGTACACTCAGGAGCTGGGAGATGTGAAGCTGTTATGTACACTCAGGAGGTGGGAGATGTAAAGCTGTTATGTACACTCAGGAGGTGGGAGATGTAAAGCTGTTATGTACAGTCAGGAGCTGGGAGATGTGAAGCTGTTATGTACACTCAGGAGCTGGGAGATGTGAAGCTGTTATGTACACTCAGGAGCTGGGAGATGTGAAGCTGTTATGTACACTCAGGAGCTGGGAGATGGGAAGCTGTTATGTACACTCAGGAGCTGGGAGATGGGAAGCTGTTATGTACAGTCAGGAGCTGGGAGATGTGAAGCTGTTATGTACACTCAGGAGCTGGGAGATGGGAAGCTGTTATGTACAGTCAGGAGCTGGGAGATGGGAAGCTGTTATTTACACTGCATATCATTCCTCTTTTGTGTTGTTCCTGGTAAGCTGTCATCATTTTTCTTTTGATCTCATGTGGAAATGTTCTCACCAGAGTCCGGCCGCCCTGCCAGCGCACAGTCTCAAAATGTTATCAAGTTCCTCGATGGAATAACTGGTGGTGGTGGTGGGGGGGGATCAGCTGCAGAATTATGGGGAATCCCCACCACCATGCGCATTATAAAGCGGAGTCAGGATCACTTACCGTAACCTCTCAAATTCCACATCGTCTACTAAGAAGTCCCGCGTCTCCACCAATTTGTTGATGCGCTGGAACAGGTCCTCCTCCTTCTGCCGGTCCTCTTGAGTCTTCTCCTTCTCTGGAAGAGGAAACTTCCCGTTATTCCATGCAGTAGTTACATTGTTTCCAGCTATCTCTGTGGACTACAGAACTACCTCTGTGGACTACAGAACTACCTCTGCGGACTACAGAATTACCTCTGCGGACTACAGAACTACCTCTGCGGACTACAGAATTACCTCTGTGGACTAGAGACCTATCTCTGTGAAAGACAGACCTATCTCTCTGGACTACAGACCTATCTCTGTGAAAGACAGACCTATCTCTGTGAACTACAGATTTATCTCTGTGAACTACAGAACTACCTCTGTGAACTGCAGATTTATCTCTGTGAACTACAGAACTACCTCTGTGGACTACAGAACTACCTCTGTGGACTACAGAACTACTTCTGTGGAAGACAGACCTACCTCTCTGGACTACAGACCTATCTCTGTGGACTACAGAACTACCTCTGTGGAAGACAGAACTATCTCTGTGGACTACAGATCTACCTCTGTGTTCTACAGAAATTCTCTCCCCTATAAAATAGAACTCTGGTGCCCAACACATGGCCCGCTGGCTCACCTGTGAGTAGCCTGCCATGTCCTGGGCTGGTCTGCCACCTACTGGGCACTTTGCAGAGTGGCGCCAGGGTGCTGGGTGCTCAGCTATCTCTGTGGACTACAGGATGTCTCCCTACTATAATATAGAGCCCAGGTACGCAATGTGCTGCCCGCCAGCTCTCTGTGTGCAAGCTGCAGCATCCTGAGCTGGGTCCACCGCCCCGTTGTTCTGGGCTGGTTCCGCCCCCCCATTGTTCTGGGCTGGGTCATCCCCCCTTTGTTCTGGGCTGGGTCTGCCCCCCCCCCCCGTTGTTCTTGGCTGGGTCCACCCCTTCGTTATTATGGGCTGGGTCTGCCCCCCCCCCCCCATTGTTCTGGGCTGGGTCCGCCCCCCCAATTGTTCTGGGCTGAGTCCGACCCCCCGTTGTTCTGGGCTGGGTCCACCATTGATTGTTCTGGGCTGGGTCTGCCCCCCCTTGTTCTAGGCTGGGTCCACCACCCCTTGTTCTCTTGTACTGGGCTGAGTCCGCCACCCCTTGTTCGGGGCTGAGTCCGACCCCCCGTTGTTCTGGGCTGGGTCAGCCATTGATTGTTCTGGGCTGGGTCCGCCCCCCCCTTGTTCTAGGCTGGGTCTGCCACCCCTTGTTCTCTTGTTCTGGGCTGGGTCCGCCACCCCTTGTTCCAGGCTGGGTCTGCCCCCCCCCACTGTTCTGGGCTGGGTCCGCCCCCCAATTGTTCTGGGCTGAGTCCAACCCCCCCGTTGTTCTGGGCTGGGTCCGCCATTGATTGTTCTGGGCTGGGTCCGCCCCCCCTTGTTCTAGGCTGGGTCCGCCACCCCTTGTTCTCTTGTTCCGGGCTGGGTCTGCCACCCCGTTGTTCTGAGCTGGGTCTACCACCCCGTTGTTCTGGGCTGGGTCTGCCCCCCCCCCCCCCACTGTTCTGGGCTGGGTCCGCCCCCCAATTGTTCTGGGCTGAGTCCAACCCCCCATTGTTCTGGGCTGGGTCCGCCATTGATTGTTCTGGGCTGGGTCCCGCCCCCCCTTGTTCTAGGCTGGGTCCGCCACCCCTTGTTCTCTTGTTCCGGGCTGGGTCTGCCACCCCGTTGTTCTGAGCTGGGTCTGCCACCCCGTTGTTCTGGGCTGGGTCTGCCCCCCCTTGTTCTAGGCTGGGTCCACCACCCCTTGTTCTCTTGTACTGGGCTGAGTCCGCCACCCCTTGTTCGGGGCTGAGTCCGACCCCCCGTTGTTCTGGGCTGGGTCAGCCATTGATTGTTCTGGGCTGGGTCCGCCCCCCCTTGTTCTAGGCTGGGTCTGCCACCCCTTGTTCTCTTGTTCTGGGCTGGGTCCGCCACCCCTTGTTCCAGGCTGGGTCTGCCCCCCCCCCCCCTGTTCTGGGCTGGGTCCGCCCCCCAATTGTTCTGGGCTGAGTCCGACCCCCCGTTGTTCTGGGCTGGGTCCGCCATTGATTGTTCTGGGCTGGGTCCGCCCCCCCTTGTTCTAGGCTGGGTCCGCCACCCCTTGTTCTCTTGTTCTGGGCTGGGTCCGCCACCCCTTGTTCCGGGCTGGGTCTGCCACCCCATGTTCTGGGCTGGGTCTGCCACCTCGTTGTTCTGGGCTGGGTCTGCCACCCCTTGTTCTGGGCTGGGTCTGCCACCCCTTGTTCTGGGCTGGGTCTGCCACCTCGTTGTTCTGGGCTGGGTCCGCCCACCTTGTTCTGGGCTGGGTCGGCCATCGATTGTTCTGGGCTGGGTCTGCCACCCCCTTGTTCTGGGCTGGGTCCGCCCCACCCTTGTTCTGGGCTGGGTCCGCCCCCCCTTGTTCTGGGCTGGGTCCGCCACCTGCTGTATAGTCCAGGCTCAACATCCCCAGGGAGAGAGGGCAGCACAGGAAGGACATTTTGATAGATTTACATCAAAGTTGAACTCCAGACAAAGAGCTAAATAAAGCGATAAAATACAAATAATACATATATGCCAAATGATTTGTATTTCTGTTCATCCAGTCGTGAGATTTACACAGCTCTGCAGCACAGCGCAGCCCTGTCTAGCAGCGGAGGGGATGTGACTTTTTTAAATTGGGGATGGGACTTGCTACCAGAGGAATAAGGTTTACTCAGCTTCCTTACTGGTTCTTACCTGGAATGGCCACAAGTTTCTGCAGATCCGTCTTTAGCCTCGTAATTTCTTCACACAGATGAAAATCGTCCATCCTGCACACACAACCATGAGACATTACATTGGTGGTCCATGGGAAGAATGCCCCTTACATTGGTGATCAGTGGGAAGAATGTCCCTTACATTGGTGGTCAGTGGGAAGAATGCCCCTTACATTGGTGATCAGTGGGAAGAATGTCCCTTACATTGGTGGTCAGTGGGAAGAATGTCCCTTACATTGGTGGTCAGTGGGAAGAATGTCCCTTACATTGGTGGTCAGTGGGAAGAATGTCCCTTACATTGGTGGTCCATGGGAAGAATGTCCCTTACATTGGGGGTCAGTGGGAAGAATGTCCCTTACATTGGTGATCAGTGGGAAGAATGTCCCTTACATTGGTGGTCAGTGGGAAGAATGCCCCTTACATTGGGGATCAGTGGGAAGAATGCCCCTTACATTGGGGATCAGTGGGAAGAATGTCCCTTACATTGGTGGTCAGTGGGAAGAATGTCCCTTACATTGGTGGTCAGTGGGAAGAATGTCCCTTACATTGGTGATCAGTGGGAAGAATGCCCCTTACATTGGTGGTCGGTGGGAAGAATGTTCCTCACATTGGGGGTCGGTGGGAAGAATGTTCCTCACATTGGGGGTCGGTGGGAAGAATGCTCCTTACATTGGTGATCAGTGGGAAGAATGTCCCTTACATTGGTGATCAGTGGGAAGAATGTCCCTTACATTGGGGGTCAGTGGGAAGAATGTCCCTTACATTGGGGGTCAGTGGGAAGAATGTCCCTTACATTGGGGGTCAGTGGGAAGAATGTCCCTTACATTGGTGGTCAGTGGGAAGAATGTCCCTTACATTGGTGATCAGTGTGAAGAATGTCCCTTACATTGGTGATCAGTGGGAAGAATGTCCCTTACATTGGTGGTCAGTGGGAAGAATGTCCCTTACATTGGTGGTCGGTGGGAAGAATGTTCCTCACATTGGGGGTCAGTGGGAAGAATGTCCCTTACATTGGGGGTCAGTGGGAAGAATGCCCCTTACATTGGTGATCAGTGGGAAGAATGTCCCTTACATTGGTGGTCAGTGGGAAGAATGTCCCTTACATTGCTGATCAGTGGGAAGAATGTCCCTTACATTGGTGATCAGTGGGAAGAATGTCCCTTACATTGGTGGTCGGTGGGAAGAATGTTCCTCACATTGGGGGTCAGTGGGAAGAATGTCCCTTACATTGGGGGTCAGTGGGAAGAATGCCCCTTACATTGGTGATCAGTGGGAAGAATGTCCCTTACATTGGGGGTCAGTGGGAAGAATGTCCCTTACATTGGGGGGTCAGTGGGAAGAATGTCCCTTACATTGGTGATCAGTGGGAAGAATGTCCCTTACATTGGGGGTCAGTGGGAAGAATGTCCCTTACATTGGGGGTCAGTGGGAAGAATGTCCCTTACATTGGTGATCAGTGGGAAGAATGTCCCTTACATTGGTGGTCAGTGAGAAGAATGTCCCTTACATTGGTGATCAGTGGGAAGAATGTCCCTTACATTGGTGGTCAGTGGGAAGAATGTCCCTTACATTGGGGGTCAGTGGGAAGAATGTCCCTTACATTGGGGGTCAGTGGGAAGAATGTCCCTTACATTGGGGGTCAGTGGGAAGAATGTCCCTTACATTGGGGGTCAGTGGGAAGAATGTCCCTTACATTGGGGATCAGTGGGAAGAATTTGTTGAGATAAATTTTCCACACCACTCCTTCGATTCTTCCCACCACTGCAGTTGATTTGATACCACTAACAACTAGAAAATGGAATCAGATCAACATTCCTAAATCAAAATACACGGCTCAAAAAAATGAAAGGAACACTTATTAATCCGAGTCTAGCATAAAGTCCATGAAACTCCTGGGATATTGATCTGGTCAGGTAAGTAGCAGAGGGGGTTGTTCATCAGTTTCAGCTGCTTTGGTGTTAATGAAATTAACAACAGGTTCACTAGATGGGCAACAATGAGACGACCCCCAAAACAGGAATGGTTTTACAGATGGAGGCCACTGACATTTTTTCCCTACTCGTCTTTTCTGACTGTTTTTCGCTAGTTTTGCATTTGGCTAGGGTCAGTGTCACTACTGGTAGCATGGGGCCATACCTGGACCCTACAGAGGTTGCACAGGCAGTCCAACTCCTCCAGGATGGCACATTAATATGTGATATTACCAGAAGGTTTGCTGTGTCTCCCAGCACAGTCTCAAGAGCATGGAGGAGATTCCAGGAGACAGGCAGTTACTCTAGGAGAGCTGGACAGGGCCATAGAAGGTCCTTAACCCATCAGCAGGACCGGTATCTGCTCCTTTGTACAAGGAGGAACAGGATGAGCCCTGCCAGAGCCCTACAAAATGACCTCCAGCAGGCCACTGGTGTGAATTTCTCTGACCAAACAATCAGAAACAGACTTCATGAGGGTGGCCTGAGGGCCCGACATCCTCTAGTGGGCCCTGTGCTCACTGCCCGGCACCATAGAGCCTGATTGTCATTTGCAATTGAACACCAGAATTGGTCCACCACTGGCACCCTGTGATTTTCACAGATGAGAGCAAGTTCACCCTGAGCACATGTGACAGACGTGAAAGGGTCTGGAGAAGTCATGGAGAACGTTCTGCTGCCTGTAACATGGTTCAGCATGACAGTTTTGGTGGTGGGTCAGTGATGGTCTGGGGAGGCATATCCATGGAGGGACACACAGACCTCTACAGGCTAGACAATGGCACCCTGTCTGTCATTAGGTATCGGGATGAAATCCTTGGACCCATTGTCAGATCCTACGCTGGTGCAGTGGGTCCTGGGTTCCTCCTGGTGCAGTGGGTCCTGGGTTCCTCCTGGTGCAGGGGGTCCTGGGTTCCTCCTGGTGCAGGGGGTCCTGGGTTCCTCCTGGTGCAGGGGGTCCTGGGTTCCTCCTGGTACAGTGGGTCCTGGGTTCCTCCTGGTACAGTGGGTCCTGGGTTCCTCCTGGTACAGTGGGTCCTGGGTTCCTCCTGGTGCACAACAATGCCCGGTCTCATGTAGGGGGAGTATGCAGGCAGATCCTGGAGGATGAAGGAATTGATACCATTGAATGGCCCCCACGCTCACCTGACCTAAATCCAATAGAACACCTCTGGGATGTCATGTTTCGGTCCATCCGACGCCGCCAGGTTGCCCCTCAAACTGTCCAGAAGCTCAGTGATGCCCTGGTCCAGATCTGGGAGGAAATCCCCCAGGACACCATCCGTGGTCTCATTAGGAGCCTCCCCCTACGTTGTCAGGCATGCATACAAGCACGTGGGGGCCACACAAACTACTGAGGACCATTCTGAGTTGCTGCAATGACATTTCAGCAAAATGGACTCGCCTGCTGCATCATTTCTTCACTTTGATTTTCAGGGTGGCTGTGAATTCAGTCCTCTGTAGGTCGATCATTTTCATTTCCATCAAACGATGGGCCATCCTTACCTTCCTCACACATCACCCCGTCCATGTCAGTATCAGGGGCGGACTGACAACGCATGGGGCCCCAGGCAATAGAGGACAATGGGGCCCCTGTGTCCTCGCCCGAACTCAAAAAAGCCTATGAAAAAGGTACCAGGGGCATCTCATGGGGCCCCCTACTGACCCCGGGCCCTCGGGCAGTGCCTGAGTTTCCAAATGGTCAGTCCGCCCCTGGTCAGTATAGAGATCCAGCAGGAGATTTGTCCCCATTGAGATCTGATGGGTTTCAAAGTCTTCCTTTCATTTTATTGAGCCGTGTATTTTGAATGAAATTCCTTTAGTGTGTGGCCAGCCTAATGCAGGCCATACATGGTTCGAATCGAAACCGTCGTTCGCTCGGTAATCCGATGGTGCCGTCAATGATTTTGAAAATCGGCCGACCGAGTCATAAAGTTCACCCCGTATAACAGGCAAAACTTCTGCTCCTTCCAGGTCACGGCTCATGGCGCATATTCTTTTTGGAAAAACGATCGTACAATTTGACCATCATTGAGTCGAACATCGGTCATTTTTCACAAATTTTCCAACATGCCCGATCACCACAAAGGGGAGGAACCACGAAAATCGGTCGGTGCCATTGACCCCACTAACAGAGCGATTCTTAGGTCCGATTTTCAGACGAAAAATCGGTCGAATTTCGTCCCATGTATGGCCGGCATTAGGCCCCTTTCACATGGGCGTTCCGTATGTCCATTTTTCACCTGTCCGTTTACAGATGAAAAGCGGACCCCCATGTATTTCTATGGACTAGCGGATATAAACGGATGATCATCTCTTTACATCCGTTAATGTCTACATCCATTTTTTTGCATGAAAGAAAACCCTACTTTTTTTCTGTTAAGAAAAACCGGAACAGATGGAAAACGGACGTAAATGGACCAAAAACTGATGTACTGATGAAAAAATTGGGTCCGTGTGAAAGGACCCTTCGACTTGCCTGTGCACAGGGTGACAACGCTGCTGTGCAATTCAACTGCAGAATGAACGGCGTTGTCACCCTATTACAGGAAGTGTAAAATCGGAGGCAGGTAATGTTACAATGTTACAGGGGAGGCTCGGAAGAACAGAAACTGTAACAATGTAACTGATGGACTGTATCATGGATGTCATTTTTTTATTTTACACTTTGACGCCTGGAATGGAGAACTCATGACTGCAGGCACGGTTCTGGACGGGGGGTGGGGGGGGTGGGGGGGGAGGAAGATCTGCAGAGCGACCCACGGGACGTCAGCAGCGCCCATCGCGCGTCGCCCTGACAAGTCTGGTTAGCCCGTGGCTAATGAGGCCGGACAGGTCCTCGTTGTCCTGCACCGCGTTCGTTGCTAGGCAACCTCCAGGGGCGAGCGGTGACTCATCTCTCTGTGACTCACACCTGCGCTCCTGCACTGCAGACAGATGCTCAATTAACCCCTTCCCCCGCTAAATGGCGACACCCGTGCCAGTGCCAGACGCCAAGAGCAACTATCGCCCCCCCAAAAAAAAAACCAAAATCCTATTTCTTTTACGTTCTGCGAAAAAAAAACGACGTTCTCCCCCCAAAAACAATGGAGTATCAGCAAAGAACACCGCCCAGCGAAAATGGAAGCGATGGATTTTAATTGCGATGATGGAGAACAACCAGAAAAAAAGTTTTACCTCCTTTCTTTGCAAGGTTGGGGGCAACTAAAAAGCAAATTGGCGACTTTGCAGAACCCTTCATCCTTGCAGATGACTATATGCCAGTCAAGGGATCGAAAGACACCTGAAAGGGCGGTAATATCTCACACCGCCCCAGTATTTATTACCCGCCCTGACAATGCCTTCTTCTGCTTCTCCATTCAGAAACTCAGCACCATCTTTATTCAGGCACCAACCAGGGTTACCATCTACTTCCCGGACGGAGATGGCAGCTCAGAGATGATGCAATCATGTAAATCCTGGTGGCTGCGCACAAATGCTTGACACAGATCAGCCCCTGCGGCAGCTTCTCCACTGATTTGCTACAAAGTTACCATGTTGCAGTATGATCACTGGGGGGGGGGAGGGGAGACTGAAGAACGCCTGGTTTACACTATTGCGTCTTTGAGCCGCGTTTCCGTGAGCACAGCGTTCTTTTGATTTGAATGGGCTGCCTTGCCTGTGTTTCATGCAGGAAAAGGGTTCCTGCACCATTTTCAAAATGCAGCGGCAGGGAAATCACATGGGGGTTCTCAGTGGTTCCCTCACCCACAAGCGTGCTGCGTTTTTAGTTGCGTTGGGGTGCCATTAGGAATGAATGGCAGGTCTGCGCATTTTTAAAGAGCGGCTCGTTTTGGCTGCGGGTAGTTGTGGGTGCAGGAACAGGTGCAACTCCTGCACCCATAACCACCCTATAGTAGTTTTACTGCTACAGGGTGGCCACTCTGTGCAAAATTATATATATTTATATATATATACATACGTGAGCTCGCAATTCTAGGTAGAGGATGCGCATGCGCGCCATTCTACCCGCACTGTCATTGGGAGGGGCCTGTGGGAGGGACCCAACAGGCTACACGCCCTATAGGATGATTGTAGAAAACTACAGGAGGTACATTACAGCTCATCCATACTAACCACTTCCCGGCCACCCTATAGTAGTTTTTACTGCTCCATATATATATGTATCTGTTCGCATTTCCGGGTAGAAGGCGCGCGCATGCCTTCCTGCCCACACTGTCATTGGCTTCCATAGGTGTCAATCACTGGGTCCAGGCCAGCGAGTCAGCGACTGGCGGCACTCACTAAAGGATGACTGTAGAAAACTACAGGAGGGGGCGGAGACAAGACCAGTCACCCTGCACAAGGAGAGGGGGCAGCAGTGAGTGGTCTTTATTACAGGAAGTCTCACACTGGATTACTGCACAGATCTGGAAGAAATACACAAATCACAACAAGATGGACAGACTCCTATATATACACGGCTCAATAAAATGAAAGGAAGACTTTGAAACCCATCAGATCTCAATGGGGAGGAATCTCCTGCTGGATCTCTATACTGACATGGACGGGGGATGGGTGAGGAACATAAGGACGCCCCATCGTTTGATGGAAATGAAAATGATCGACCTACAGAGGACTGAATTCAAAGACGCCAAGAAAATCAAAGTGAAAAATGATGCAGCAGGCGAGTCCATTTTGCTGAAATGTCATTGCAGCAACTCAGAATGGTCCTCAGTAGTCTGTGTGGCCCCCACGTGCTTGTATGCATGCCTGACAACGTAGGGGGAGGCTCCTAATGAGACGATGGATGGTGTCCTGGGGGATTTCCTCCCAGATCTGGACCAGGGCATCACTGAGCTCCTGGATAGTCTGAGGTGCAACCTGGTGGCGTCAGACGGACCGAAACATGACATCCCAGAGGTGTTCTATTGGATTTAGGTCAGGCGAGCGTGGGGGCCATTCAATGGTATCAATTCCTTCATCCTCCAGGAACTGCCTGCATACTCTCCCCACATGACGCCGGGTATTGTCATACACCAGGAGGAACCCAGAACCCCCTGCATCAGGAGGAACCCAGGACCCACTGCACCAGCGTAGGGTCTGACAATGGGTCCAAGGATTTCATCCCGATACCTAATGGCAGTCAGGGTACCATTGTCTAGCCTGTAGAGGTCTGTGTGTCCCTCCATGGATATGCCTCCCCAGACCATCACTGACCCACCACCAAAACGGTCATGGTGAACCATGTTACAGGCAGCAGAACGTTCTCCACGGCTTCTCCAGACCCTTTCACGTCTGTCACATGTGCTCAGGGTGAACCTGCTCTCATCTGTGAAAAGCACAGGGTGCCAGTGGTGGACCTGCCAATTCTGGTGTTCAATGGGAAATGCCAATCCAGCTCTATGGTGCCGGGCAGTGAGCACAGGGCCCACTAGAGGACGTCGGGCCCTCAGACCACCTTCATGAAGTCTGTTTCTGATTGTTTGGTCAGAGACATTCACACCAGTGGCCTGCTGGAGGTCATTTTGTAGGGCTCTGGCAGGGCTCATCCTGCCCCTCCTTGCACAAAGGAGCAGATACCGGTCCTGCTGATGAGTTAAGGACCTTCTACGGTCCTGTCCAGCTCTCCTAGAGTAACTTCCTGTCTCCTGGAATCTCCTCCATGCTCTTGAGACTGTGCTGGGAGACACAGCAAACCTTCTGGCAATGGCATGTATTGATGTGCCATCCTGGAGGAGTTGGACTGCCTGTGCAACCTCTGTAGGGTCCAGGTATGGCCTCATCCTACCAGTAGTGACACTGACCCGAGCCAAATGCAAAACTAGTGAAAAACAGTCAGAAAAGATGAGTAGGGAAAAGAATGTCAGGGAACGTCACCTGTAAAACCATTCCTGTTTTGGGAGTCGTCTCATTGTTGCCCATCTAGTGCACCTGTTGTTAATTTCATGAACACCAAAGCAGCTGAAACTGATGAACAACCCCCTCTGCTACTTACCTGACCAGATCCATACCCCAGGAGTTTCATGGACGTGATGCTAGACTCGGATTAAAAAGTATTTCTTTTATTTTTTTGCGCCGTGTATGTTTATATTTCTATATTTAGACATTTTCTTATCCCGGATCGGCTCCAACACCTCCGGCTATTACTCACATGTATCTCAGCTCCGACTCTCTTCTCACCAGGATCTCTCGGATCCTTTCAATCTTGAACAGCTCATCTTCAATATCGTCCACGGTGGTCGTAGAGTCGGCCATGGAAATGACATCATCGCCTGAAAAAAAGAAAAAGGGGAGCGTGAAAGGGTTACTGGGGGGGCTGTACCCGGATCAAATCATTTTCAACACTTCTGGAAGAATTCTAAAAAACCAGCAGCTGTGTAATACAGAGCCTCCCCCTGACGCAGCAATCTGAACGCAGGGAGGACGCAGGCAACAAATCAGAGCGCAGAATAATTACACAACATTGCGATCGTTACATTGTTGCAAGGATGGCCTTGATTTTCCCGCAGCATTAGATGTGGACGGTTTTCAGCTTTAGCACTCACTCCACTGAGACTCTGCGATTCCCCCATCAGCAGCTCTGAGCGCACCGAGGCGGAACGGCCGTATTTGTCAGATTATTGGTAAGAAGAGAAATCTGTCACCAGCCAATGAGGAGAGAGAAAGGAGAAAAAATACAGAAGTGTTCTGATTCGAGGAATGGACAGCGCGGTGTGAGGTCAGACACCTGGGCCGGTGATGTCATGGCTTGCATGGTCACTCAGGAAAAGGGTCCTTTGGAAGCCCTTAGCAGGTCAAATGTGTTTCTTAGATCAGAGTCCCCTCTTATATAGTCGTCCCCTCTTAGATCAGAGTCCGCTCCTATAGTCGTCCCCTCTTAGATCCGAGTCCGCTCCTACATAGTCATCCCCTCTTAGATCAGAGTCCCCTCCTACATAGTCGTTCCCTCTTAGATCAGAGTCCCCTCCTACATAGTCATCCCCTCTTAGATCAGAGTCCCCTCCTACATAGTCGTTCCCTCTTAGATCAGAGTCCCCTCTTACATAGTCATCCCCTCTTAGATCAGAGTCCCCTCTTATATAGTCGTCCCCTCTTAGATCAGAGTCCCCTCTTATATAGTCATCCCCTCTTAGATCAGAGTCTGCTCCTACATAGTCGTCCCCTCTCAGATCAGAGTCCGCTCCTACATAGTCGTCCCCTCTTAGGTCAGAGTCCCCTCTTACATAGTCGTCCCCTCTTAGATCAGAGTCCGCTCCTACATAGTCGTCCCCTCTTAGATCAGAGTCCCCTCTTACATAGTCGTCCCCTCTTAGATCAGAGTCCGCTCCTACATAGTCGTCCCCTCTTAGATCAGAGTCCGCTCCTACATAGTCGTCCCCTCTTAGATCAGAGTCCGCTCCTACATAGTCATCCCCTCTTAGATCAGAGTCCGCTCCTACATAGTCGTCCCCTCTTAGATCAGAGTCCCCTCCTACATAGTCGTCCCCTCTTAGATCAGAGTCCGCTCCTACATAGTCGTCCCCTCTTAGATCAGAGTCCCCTCCTACATAGTCGTCCCCTCTTAGATCAGAATCCGCTCCTACATAGTCGTCCCCTCTTAGATCAGAGTCCCCTCCTACATAGTCGTCCCCTCTTAGATCAGAGTCCGCTCCTACATAGTCGTTCCCTCTTAGATCAGAGTCCCCTCTTATATAGTCGTCTCCTCTTAGATCAGAGTCCCCTTTTACATCAGTGTCCTCTCTTATACATCAGAGACCCTCCCTTACATCAGCATCAGCTTTTACATCTGAGTTCCCCCTTACATCAGTGCCCTCTGTTACATCAGAGTCCTCCTTAATAGAGAGTCCCCTCTTACATAGTTGTCCCCCTCTTAGATCAGAATCCCCCCTTACACCAGTGTCCTCTATTACATCAGATTCCATCCCTTACATGACAGACTTCCCCCCTCCACACACACACACACACACACACACAAGTCCCCATTTACATCAGAGATCTCCATCACATAGGAGTCCCCCTTGAATAAGATTCCCCTCTTGCATAGTTGTCCTCTCTTAGACCAGAGTCCCCTCTTACAACAGTCTCCACTCACATCAGAGTCCCCTGTTACACAGGAGTCCTCCCTTAGATCAGAGTGTCTGTTAGATAAGAGTGCTCTCCTATATAGCCGTCCCCTTAGATCAGAGTCCCCTCTTACATAGGCATCCCCTCTTACATTGGTCACCTGTTACACCAGAGTCCCCTGTTACATAGAGTCTCCACCCCCCTTAGATCAGAGTCTCTCTTAGATCAGAGTCCCCTCTTACATAGGCATCCCCTCTTACATTGGTCACATGTTACACCAGAGTCCCCTGTTACATAGAGTCTCCACCCCCCTTAGATCAGAGTCTCTCTTAGATCAGAGTCCCCTCTTACATAGGCATCCCCTCTTACATTGGTCACCTGTTACACCAGAGTCCCCTATTACATAGAGTCTCCACCCCCCTTAGATCAGAGTCTCTCTTAGATCAGAGTCTCCCCTTGGATCAGAGTTCTACCCTAGCAGGCACCGTGGATTGGGAGTGCTTACACATCACCTACTGTTGGTGGGAGTAAAATGTACTTTGTATAACCTTCCCCCCGTCTTCCGCATTGCTTGGTGTGACGTCACCATCCTAACGGAAAGATTCCCGGGGAATACAGTGCAGACAACATTTTGCAAGAAGACACTCCAGTCCATTGCTAGAGCATCTTCTGCAGATTTCGATAGCTCAGTATCCCCCGGAACACACACCCAGAAATTGACTTTTTTTTTTGTCCAGCCTTTGCTGCCACTGATCTCCTGCATCCTCTTTGCAGCTATTTTTCATGTCTATGCTTTCCAGAGATGGCGGCATTTCTCTGGGTGGGTTCCTGATGGTGACAACAATGGATCATGCCTGTGCAATGTGTGTCAGTGTGGCTGCTTGTAGTCTTCACAGAGAGCCTATGACAGGGTGACAACGCAGTGGAACAAATGGATGACAGGGACAGAGCGTTGTCACCCTATAACAGGGAGTGTCTGAGCGAGGATCTTCATGGAAGGATCACCAGGGATTATTTTAATGAAAGCTGCAGATTTAAAATTTTGAAAATGACATGTGAAAGCTTCTATGAGATTTTAGTGATCGGGGTTACATCTGCTTCATCAGAAAATCAGCTCACGGATCAGGTAAGTCTTGCTGCAACAGACGACAACCCCCCACTAGACGCGTATTTCTGCACAATGGCGTCTCCCGCCTCTGCTCACAGACACTGCAGCACAGAGTTAAACCCCTGGTGGGGACATGTTACAATCCCATTCATGAAACCGCCGCACGCGGTCACCTGACCACAGCTGAGGAGCCTTTTTATGAATGAAGGAAACTCGCAGAACCACACAATACACAGAATGGCAACCTCAGAAGGCCTGGCGGGGATGGGTGGGGGTGTCAACAGAGCACATGATGTCATGAGGAAGGAAGGAATGCACAGGGTAGGGAGGACGGAAAAGAAAGAAACGAAGGAAGGAAGAAATCAGGGAAGAGAAGGAAAATGAAGGAAGGGAAGAAATCAAGGAAAGGAAGGAAGGAATAGAGGAAGGAATGGGAAGAAAGGAGGGAAGGAAGGAAGTAGAGGGAAAGGAGGGAGGAAAGGAAGGAAGGAAGGAAGGAAGGAAGGAAGGAAGGAACAAAGGAAGAAATCAAGAAAGGGAAAGAAGGAAGAAATCAAGGCAGGAAGGGAAGAAATCAAGGAAGGGAATGATGAAATGGAAAGAAGGAAGAAATCAAGGAAGAAAGGAAGGAATAGAGGGAGGAATGGGAAGAAAGGAGGGAAGGAAGGAAGTAGAGGGAAGGAAGGAAGTAGAGGGAAAGGAGGGAGGAAGGGGAGGAAAGGAAGGAAGAAATCAAGGAAGGGAAGGAAGGAATAGAGGAAGGAATGGGAAGAAAGGGGGGGAAGGAAGGAAACAGAGGGAAAGAAGGAAGGGAGGGAGGAAGGGGAGGAAAGGAAGGAAGAAAGCAAGAAATCAAGGAAGGGAAGGAAGAAAGGGAAAGAAGGAAGAAATCAAGACAGGAAGGGAAGAAATCAAGGAAGGGAAGGAAGAAAGGGAAAGAAGGAAGAAATCAAGACAGGAAGGGAAGAAATCAAGGAAGGGAAGAAAAGAAGAAAGGAGGGAAGGGGAGGAAAGGAGGGAAGGAAGAAATCAAGGAAGGGAATGATGAAATGGAAAGAAGGAAGAAATCAAGGAAGGAAGGAAGGGAAGAAACCAATGAAGGGAAGGAAGAAAGGGAAAGAAGGAAAAAAACAAGGAAGGAAGGGAAGAAAAGAAGAGATGGAAGAAGGAAGGAAGGAAGAAAAGAAGAGATGGAAGAAGAAGGAAGGAAGGAAGGAAGGAAGGAAGGAAGGAAGGAAGGAAGGAAGAAATCAAGGAAGGGAAAAAAGGAAGAAAGAAATCAAGGAAGGAAAGAAGTAATCGATAATGGAAGGGAAGAACGCCTGGGTGAGAATGTGTGTGTGTGTAAAGGAAGGAAGGAATGCACACGGTAGGGAGACTGAAAAAGAAAAGAAAAATAAAAGAAGGAAACCGTGGAAGGAAGGAAAGAAAGAAATCAAGGAAGGAAGGAAGGGAAAGAAGAAAGAGATCAAGGGTGAAAGGAAGGAAGAAATCAAAGAAAGAAGGAACCAAGGAAGGAATGGGAGATAGGGAAGGAAGAAATTAAGGAAGGGGGGGGGAGAAGGAAGAAAGAAATCAAGGAAGGAAAAGAAGAAAGGAATGGAAAGAAGGAAGAAATCAAGGAAGGAAAGAGGAAATGGAAGGGAAGAAATCAAAGAAGGGCGGGAAGAAAAGAAGGAAGGAAGGAAGGGAAGGAAAAAAATCCAAGAAGGAAGAAAGAAATCATGGAAGTAAAGAATGCACAGTGTAGAGAGAGAGAAAGAAAAGGGTAGAAAGGTAAGAGCGAAGGATGACAGAAAAAAAGAGAAAAAATGCATGGTGGAAAGAGAGAGGGAGGGTTATGAAGAAAGTAAATTTCCACGTTTGGTATATGTCATACGCACACGTGGAGGTACAAGAAGTGCTGATGCAAAAGAATATCAGCATTGACACAAGTACAAGAGTGTACAGCCATGCACTTTTCTGGCCGTCTGTACATGCCACCTGTTGCTCCCTGGTCATGGGAAAACGCCGGGACTTTTACTCCAGTGCTCCCTTGCAGCTGCAAACGTCCACCTTCATGTACTCCACAACCCTAAGTTCATATTTGCCTTTAGCCTC